CATAGGATTTGTTAAAAGACAGGAATTGATTAGTGAAAGTAAGGAAATAGAAATGATTGGTCATCTTCACGGTGACATTTTTAACCAAGATAAATTTTTAATTAATGGTGTTGAAATGAGTGTTAAATTGGTTCGATCAAGAGAGAGTTTTAATTTAATTGTTGGGTCAAACGATGTAAAGTTTAAAGTTTGCATTACGGACGCAACTCTTATTGTTCGACGAGCACGAATTAATCCAAGTGTATTACTCGCACATCAAAAAGTTTTAGCTTCTACCACTGCTAAATATCCTATTACTCGAGCTGAAGTAAAAGTTTTAACAATTTCTTCGGGTGTTCAAGGAAAAACTCTTGATAATATATTTTTAGGACAGGTACCGAAAAGATGTATAATTGGATTTGTGAACAATTCTGCATTTAATGGTTCCCTTACTAAAAATCCATTTAACTTTGAAAACTATGGTATTAATTCTTTCAGCTTATATATTGATGGTCAACAAATACCTTCAAAAGCTTTGCAACCATCTTTTAATAATAGCATATTTACATCAGCATATCATACTCTATTCTCGGGAACTGGTATTCACTTTCTTAATGAAGGAAATGGAATCTCTTGTGAACAGTATGGCAAAGGTTACTGTCTATTAGCATTTGACTTAACTCCTGATTTATCAGCTAACTCATCAACTCATTGGAATCTCATAAAGCATGGTAGTGTAAGAATAGAAGTACGATTTGAATCCTCATTAATACAAACAATTAACTGTATAGTTTATGCTGAGTTTGATAATATTATTGAGATAGATAAAAACAGACATGTTACTGTAGACTATAGTAGTTAAGGTTATAATATGTGTTGTGTGTTAGATTTTATGTGTTATGTGTAATGCATTTTGTCTGTATGTAACTATGTGAAACGTTATAAAATTAAATAAAACAAATTGTATGCAATATATTTTTTTTTATTTCTTTATAAATCTTCTATTTAATCTAATACAAAACACTGTTCGAGTTGAAATTTTACATAAGCACACTGACTAAACCACTGAACATGCTGCTGCCAAGGATCATCATCATCTTCCCAATCTTTTAAACCACCACCACAATGGAAACACTTGGTCCCGTCTGCATGGCCAGTATAAAAGAAACCAGCTTCTGCAAGATCTTCAGGTTTCTGTCGCATAACGAGAGGCCAGTTTTCGAAACTAAGCAAACGGCTAGATTTTGAACTGAAGAATGGATATTCAGCTCTTGAGTACTGCATACTCTTCTCGTTTTCTTCTCCACTCAGTGTTGTAGTTTTGTTATTCAATGATGTGTTTTGTACACGTATGCCACACTCATCTCTTCCTTCCGCTCTTGTCTTCCTGTAATTGAAGTAAACAGAATCACATTCACTAATGATCAGCTAATGACTGTCATTGTTAAAAAAGTATTTTTTAACTTTTTCACTTTCTGCTATTGTCTTTGTTATATTGTATACGAGGGCGTTTGTGTTGTCGTAGATGCTATCCTTATTAGTCTTTACGTAATATTTAATTCTCGTGGAAGCATGTTTCCAATGATCAGTAGTTGGAATCTTGGATAGCTTCTTCATATCGTACATTTCAATTTTGATGAGATGCGTCGCTTGGTCTCCGTCGTCAGAATTAGTAGAAATGTATGATACACCATCTCTAGCGGCTCGTGCTACGGTTGATGATAACAGCTTCCTCTTTTTTATTTTTGATTCAGCTTCAAAAAAATGATCAATCGATTGCGATTTTCTTTTTCCACCATCGCATGTGTTATTATTAATGACAAGGTTATCACTCTCTTCTTGAGGGGAGAGTGGCGAGTAGTAATACTGTTTATAGGTATCTTCATCGAAGCTCAATGATTTCTGCAACAACACAGTTATCATGTTAATATCAATTTGTTAACACTTAATCATAAAAGTTAAAAAAGTTAAAGTTACAGCCTATTAAAGTCCACTGTTGAACATAGGCCTCCTCTCATTTCTGAGAGGGTTTTAGAGCAAGGAAATGTCCGCCGCGCTCCCTCAATGTGTGTTGGCGAACTTCACATGCCTTCGAAATTTTCTCAGACATGCAGGTTTCCTCACGATGTTTTCCTTCACCACCAAGCACGTGGTAATAAGCACTTAAAATTGCGATTAACAATTTAATTGGTGCTGGCGGGGATCGAACCCGGGTCGCGTACTGTGAAATTTACAGCTAGCGCTAACCATCTGAGTTACCACGGCTTAATCATATACATACACAATATTTAAATAAAATAATACACACACATGAAAATAACAGAAAAAAAGTAATTTAGTCAATAGAATAAACACTTACCATAGCCTTTGGTGTATTGAAGTAACACAAATGTACTATTGATAGATCCACTGTAGTCAAACGACCGTACACTAACTCGATGACTGCGTCTGTTGGTCTTATATACCACCAGTACGTAAAAATTCTAATCTAAAGTATTTCCGTAATGAGTTGATAATTACTTTATGCGTCAACCAGTTTATCTCACATTTCCGTTGTCTATCTCAACATTTCTTCGTATTGTGTTTTGTTTGGTGATCAATGACTCAAGTACGATTTGTATAACACAAAAATGCAATTTAATATTTAGAAACATATCAGTTTATCTCACATTTCCGTTGCCTATCTCAACATTTCTTCGTATAGTGTTTTGTTTGGTGATCAATGACTCAAGTACGATTTGTATAACACAAAAATGCAATTTAATATTTAGAAATCACTATAATTGACCATTCCTATGTTATTCATTGAGTAGATTGGTACTGTAATAATCTACTAATAGCAGTAATATCATGGATACACTAGATGTACAACAACATCTGAAAAAGATTCACCCCAGTCTAGAAAAGAATGTTTATGCAGCTAATAGACTGCCTATATATACCCACGTACCAACGTATATAATATGTAATTTGGATACAGATGATAAACCAGGGTCACATTGGGTAGCTTTATATATCGATACGAATGACGTCGGTCAATATTTTGATTCATATGGACGATCACCTGTACGATATCATCTAGAGTTTTTAAAAAGGAATTGTAAAAGATGGAACTGGAATGTTGATAGGATTCAGAATGAGTGGACTTCAGTTTGTGGCGAATATTGCTTAATGTATTTGCTATATAAGTTTCAAGGATGTTCAATACATAGTTTTACGAGTATATTTACAAGGAACACATTGTGCAACGATATTTTAGTGGATGAGATGTTTCGCTCCTATTTTATAGATAATAAGTAATAAGATTTTGTATTTTATAAATAAAAATTGTAACAAAATTATGTAATGTGTTTTATTGATGATTCAGATTAGCGTTGTATAATTAGGAACAAAGAAGTATAATACAATAGCATTGATATAGTCGACGCACACGCTGCAATGAAGGTGATTAATGAACAATAGAACAATAGAAATAGGAACAATGGGACGCTAATGACGGTGGAGGCCCTTACCGGATATGAATTAGATATTAGCTAATTGATCTACACATCTCCGGAACCGTGCATTCTACACAAAAATGGACCGCGGATTCGTGATCAGAGCATGCCAAAACCTTTTTTTTTTTTTTTTTTTTTTTTTTAGGATCGTGAGTCGACGAACTTCGTTGAACCACGTCTGACTCAGGTGGTCTAGAAGTGGTACAACTACACTACTCAGAGGCCCCTTAGACGGCCTTTGTGGAAGATTACAATGCACCTGTTCCCTAAGGAAGTCGAACTAGTTTCTCAACAATTCTGCCGATGTTATCTGACTTTGCCTTGCCAATTACACTTTTGAAGGTCCTAGAGGTGGAATTATACTTCTATTTAAGAGGGCTTGTAATTGTATCCCGAGACGTTGATGCATCAGCCAAGACTCGGTAGCACTCCTGGTGTGATGCAATTTTGTGCGGTGCGAATTTACTATTTCGCGATACTGCAAATGATCCTAAATTCGGGTTACATGGAGGATATGAAGGAATACACGTGTACTCACCTGGACTTCTGCTAATCTGCCTAGCGTCTCAAGGGCTGCAGCCACGATGATTGGTCGCCGGCTTACTTCACGTTTCGTGTCTTCTAAATTTTTGAGAACCCCGTTAAACAAGAGTGCACACGCTAAAAGTATAAAAGGCTGGAGATAGGAAATCCGGAAATGGGCTTTGCAGTATTCTTATTGGATAATAATTAACGAATCTCATAAGCGTTTGGCGGTAGTGCAAAATGGCGCGAACCATAATAATACAAATGAAAGAAATAAAGAAATCCTTTTGCATGTCTAAAAATCGAATAATAACCTTATAAATATATTTTCTATTTCAAATAATATATACATAAATAGATAAACATTCAAATTTTAATGAAAGGTCGAGTTTTGTATAAAATTCAATTTAAAATATAAAGTTCATGAAATTAGAAACATTATTTAGTAATTTATTAGGTTTATATATTAATCAATTATCAAAATGAAATTATAGTCAACAGTTTTCCAACATTGATTTTATAGTAATAAACATATTAAAATTATCCGATAAATCCAAGGAACTATCTCACTCGGATGTATATGAATACCGCACCTACATCTACCCTACAATATTATATTTGTTTGGACAGTTGTTAGAACTGTCAAAACTGTCTGGCTACTGAGGAAACATCTTCTAGTAGTTACCCAAGTAACATATATAAAATTCAGCCTTTATACTTTAACCTAAGTACAGTTACAATTTATTAAACTTTAAGGGTGTCTGGCAAGGTGTTGTGATTTTGCTGCTCCTGTTTCAGTTTCCCTCTGTAATGTAAGATTACAGTAAGCAAACAATTAGAACCTTCTTTGGCCATCATTTACATTCTTTTTTATTGGTATTGACTTCTTGAATCTACTCTCTGTCTATGTTCATAGTTTGGAAAAGTCAACATTTCTAAGTGTCAATAAAACGACATGAAATGTACTTTACAAACTGAAATAAAATATATGATTCGTCAATGTTTTATTTATTAGTGTCACTAATAACTTTTGTTTGCTTAATTGAAAATTCTTTCGAGGTGGAAAAAGATGGCGATAAATTAATTCTACAGCCCGTAGAACTAATCGATCTTGTAATTCAGGAACAGATGAGAAAAAATGTGCCCGCCATTCGACGTCGTTTCAAGGAAAACGTAAAGTCAACTACTACGGAGTCTAGTGAAATAGGCAAATGGACAGGTACAAACATTACGTAAATTGCCAAATATTATCACATAGTATTAAAATTTTTACTTTGTCATAAGGTAACATATCTTTGTAGTGTATGGTAGCTAACGCATTATACAAAATGTGCAATGCGGATTCCTGCGCGTTAAAATCAAAGTCAATTTTATCCAACATGGCCTTAATTTATTAAAAAAATGTTACCACGACACTAGAGATTTATCTGTTATCAGACGCCTACACTTGACAATACATCGCACATGGACATATACTCTAACCCGTATCAATACTTGTTATATGTGTATGTACTTTTAACGTGTAGTAAGCTCTACCATTTTCTCAAAATAGTTTATTCATCAATTATTATAAATTTACATAATCACCTTCAACTTTGATTGTTTGTTTGGTTTTTGGAACTGGATACACATATTTTTAAATGTATGTATATATTTTATTATTACTATTAGTACAAAAAACTGTTATATTATTACATGAATTTTATTCTTATTAGTAGATACATACATAATAGTCAAACTTTCAAACCTAACATAAGAAACAACAGAATAACAATATAAATCACTATCCTCCCGACTAAATTTCATCGTTCTATAATCTTTGGCGATTAACTGGATTTCTTCTGGCTATAGAATATGTTACTTACTTTCTATTCTCAATAGAAATACTGCAGACTAAGTGATAAATCTTATTTATTACATTCAGTCAAGAAAAAATTAAAACAAATCCAAAATGTATCTGGACGGTTTTTGAACCTAAAAGAAGAAACAAAATTAGTTATCTATGACAAATGACAATTAATGCATTTGATAATTGAAATTTCAGTGAGCCTATGTTCATGGAAATTTCAGTAGACCTGCTGATGAATAATCCTAGCCGGTTAATGAAATCTCAAGACACTATAATTCATTTTATTGCTGTAAATAAAGTTGAAGTAATTAAATTCTTCCAAGATTTTGACGTCACAAAAGGCGCTCGTTGTGACTGCATCACACAAATATTCTTCACTATGTGCGTTTGTTCGCTTCTCCGGTATTGAACATATCAACAAAATATGATAAGATAAATTTCCAAAACCTATACAAATAAATAAAATTGAAGAGTTTTTTTATAATGTCAAAATAACAAGTCTATACGGTACATAAAAAATGACAAATTTTGAAATTTTTTTCTCTGTCTGTCTGTCTGTCTGCTGGTTCTAGCTAATCTTCAAAATGGCTGGACCGATTTTGACAAGATTTTCACTAGCAGATAACTGATATTATAATAAGTAACTAAGACTACTTTTGTTTTAAAAAAAGAATTAGGGTTCCGAGCAAAAAAATTAAAACCCATGAAATTCAATCGTAATAAATTAAAAACGAAGTCGCGGGGAACAGCTAGTCTATAGTATAATAATAGCCTGAGAGCTGGCAACGAATTTTGGGAAGGTCCTTTGGGCAAGTTGAAATTGTGAAAAAATATAATTTCGTCAATTGGCGAATCCAGTCCCGCGAGTCTGGCTGAGCGTTTGCGGTTATTTTGTTACTGCGCAATATATAACATTTGCAAAAAAAAAATCCAAAAAATGTTCTTTTGGCAACTTGATTTCCTTTTTATCCTTTAATTTGGTTTTTATATAATTCAAAAAAAATCCCAGACGTTTTTGTCAGTTATAAAGTATTACCAGACCTCTCCAAAGTTATTTTTTTTTAGTTCCCAAAAAATATACATTTGGCAATCACAAATTTTAATCATGTGTTTATTGAGTAATTTTTAATAACACCTGCAAATCGCCAGACGAATTTAGCGGTTTTAAACAATTCCCAAACATGAATAAAGTTTACCAACTAATACGACAAAAAAGTCTTATGCGTAGCCATAAGTGCGAGAAAGATAGCTTATCGAAGCAGGCCGGCAGCGGATGGAGGCCTGAGCTCCTCGCGCTGTGACTGGTTACTTAGAAACAATTTTTATATATGTATGCGCTATATAGCTATGCTCAATGACCTCAATAGTGCTTCCCAACGGATAGGTCTTAAGATGAACATGGACAAAACAAAGATCATGTTTAATCTCCATGTCACACCTATGCCGGTAGTTGTTGGGAGCATTAAGCTCGAAGTTGTTGACGAGTATGGTTACCTGGGACAAATAGTCCGACTAGGTAAGTCCAACTTCGACCGAGAGGTCAAATGATGGATTCAACTCGTCTAGGCAGCGTGCGGGAGATTAGGACACATCTTCTCGTCAGATATACCTCAAAACTTGAAAACAAGATTGTATAACCAACGCGTGATGACATATACATACTGCGTACAGATGTGGTGACAGACAACTGCCCTGTGGAACTCCTGCTTTGATGGCTCGATATGTAGATTCAACTACGGCGGATTCAACTCGGTTGGGCAGCGTTCGGGAAATTACGGCACATCTTCTCGTCAGGTATACTTCAAAACTTGAAAACGAGACTGTACAACCAGTGCGTGTTGCCAGTGATGACATACGGAACTGAGATGTGGTCCTTCACTGCTGGCCGGATGAGGAAGCTTAAGGTCGATCAGCGAGCTATGGAGAGGGCTATGCTCGGTGTTGCTCTGCGTGATAAACTCAGAAATGAGGATATCCGCAGTAGAACCAGAGTGACCGACATAGCCCAACGGATTAGTAAGCTGAAGTGGCAATGGGCCGGCCATGTAGCTCGAAGAACCGACAACCGATGGGGAAGAAAGGTTCTCGAGTGGCACCCTCGTACCGGCAGGCGAAGTGTTGGGCGTCCCCCCACTAGATGGAGTGACGACCTGGTAAGATATGCAGGAAGTCGATGGATGCAGGTGGCTCAGGACTGTGCTTTGTGGTATTCCTTGAGGGAGGCCTATGTTCAGCGGTGGACTTGTGAAGGGCTGTAATGATAATGATGAAGATGATGTATGCACATATATATGGACATGTAAATATCTATGTATGGACACATCATTATCTTTCTTTACGCGGAATTAAGCAAATTAGTTTATAACAACCCCATTATAATGGATTTCCGCAAAGTAATGCCTGATTCTATTAATTGTAGTTCTATCCGTCAATAAGTTCCAGTACACCTTGAAGTCAGTCCGTCACGTCCAGAGGTAAGGTCTATTCTATATATCTATTATATTCTATAACTAACAAAGCGAGGCTAAACTCGGTACATCTAGTTCTGCTCGTCGAGGAGTTCCAGTAGCAGTCATCAAAGTATACTTTCAAGTCACTCTATCAAGACCGGAGGTAAGGTCTCATCATAACTAACAAAACGAGCCCAAACTCGGCACATCTAGTGATCCTCGTCGAGGAGTTCCAGTAGCAGATACCGACACACATTCAGATCTATTAAGTCCAAGACGTGTAAGTATATTTATATATAAATCCTGCGTGCTTTTAGCGAAACACATCCGAGCTTACAATTAATAAAATCAGGCGTTACTTTGCGGAAATCCATTATAATGGGGTTGTTATAAACTAATTTGCTTAATTCCGCGTAAAGAAAGAAAATGATGTGTCCTGCCCTTTAAAACTGGGCTAAAACTAAATATTAACTATATACATAGATATTTACATGTCCATATATGCGCATACATACACGCTAAATCCTAAAACAAGAATTTAATCTTAAAATCTTCAAAAAAAATATTTCTGAGTAACCGATCACAGCGCGAGGAGCTTAGGCCTCCATTCGCTGCCGGCATGCTTCGATAAGCTATCTTTCTCGCATTTATGGCTACGCATAAGACTTTTTTGTCGTATTAGTTGGTAAACTTTATTCATGTCTGGGAATTGTTTAAAACCGCTAAATTCGTCTGGCGATTTGCAGGTGTTATTAAAAATTACTCAATAAACACGTAATTAAAATTTGAGATTGCCAAAAGTATATTTTTGGGAACTAAAAAAAAAATATTTTTGGAAAGTTCTGGTAATACTTTATAAGAGACAAAAACCTCTGGGATTATTTTTTTTGAAATATATAAAAACTAAGTTAAAAGATAAAAAGGAAATCAAGTTGCCAAAAGAACATTTTTTGGATTTTTTTTTTGCAAATGTTATATATTGCGCAGTAACAAAATAACCGCAAACGCTCAGCCAGACTCGCGGGACTGGATTCGCCAATTGACGAAATTATATTTTTTCACAATTTCAACTTGCCCAAAGGACCTTCCCAAAATTCGTCGCCAGCTCTCAGGCTATAAGTAAATATCTGTAAAGTAATGAACATGACCTGTTTGAAAGGATGGTACTACTTAGAAGAATTCATCCTTTGCTATCTTTCTTAACCCAAAATGAACAATATGGGTTAATCAAAGAGTGTTCTATACCAACTCAGGTATTTTCTGAATATGTTCTCAATATTATGGATAGTTGCTCGCAGTTAGATGTGGATTACACGGATTTTAAGAAAGCTTTCGACTTTGTGGACCACACGATACTTTTATATTGTAAACTTGTTTTTGTTAAATACATAAAAAAATCGCGAAAAAAATTATATTATGCATGTCATGTTTTTTAAGACTGAAGTCTAAATCTGCTTAGTACTTGACTTTTGACTTTAATGTATTTACTTTAAATTTTCGCGTTGCACGCTTTAAAATGTTAACGAACTCATAATTTTAATTGCGAAAAGCCACAAAGAACAGTTGTGCGTCCAATTGCAATTAGTCATATTTAAAACTTATATACAAAACTATTTGCTTTATTGAATTACTGATACGAAAAAAGTGTGCAATTTACTTATATGACAAAGTAAAATCAGTTTTGTTAAAATTCCCACTTGATATCCCCAAAGAATGGGAGTCATCATATTGTGGCTTAGAATCTAACAATTCTGTGGTTGACTTGTTAGATTACAAGAGTTATTTGAATTCACGAAAAAGGTTTTTAAGTATGTATTACCATTAACAAATGCATGAAGGCAAAAATATAATAATTTTACAACTTCATTAGTTTTGAAACGAAATTGTTGACGTGCACCTAATAACAAATGAGTTTTTATCTCTCGCTGTTGCCTTTTAATACAGAAGCAACCATTTCTTATTAGGGAAATGAGGAGTAAAATGTGTATATTGTATATTTTTTTTTATAGGAGAGGGGGCAAACGAGCATGCGGCTCACCTGATGGTAAGTGACTACCGCCGCCCATGAACAACTGCAACACCAGGGGAATCGCAGATGCGTTGCCGGCCTTTTAAAAAGGAGTACGCTCTTTTCTTGAAGGTCCCTAAGTCGTATCGGTCCGGAAAAATCGCTGATGGTAATCGATTCCACAAGGAGGTCGTGCGAGGAAGAAAACATCTTCTAAATCGCACAGTGGTGGACCACCAATCATCCAGATGGTGTGGATGGTATCGGGAGTTCTGCCGCGATGTGCGTTCATGAAATTTGGCGGCTGGGATTAATCCGAACAATTCCTCAGAGCACTCCCCATGGTAGATGCGAAAGAAAATGCAAAGGGATGCAACATCTCTTCGCAGTGCCAATGAATCGAGCCGATCGGAAAGGGCTCGGTCGTCGACAATTCGAGCCGCTCTGCGTTGGATGCGGTCAAGTGGAAGGAGCTGGCACTGGGGAGCCCCTGCCCAGAGATGGGAACAGTATTCCATGTGAGGCCGAACTTGCGCCTTGTAAAGTAGCAGGCGGTGTGCCGGCATGAAATACTGTCCCGCTCTGCTGAGCACGCCAAACTTTTTAGAGGCCAATTTGGCCTTCCCTTCCAAGTGACCACGAAACTGCACGTCACTCGATATGTCGACTCCGAGGATACCGATACTGGCTGAGGCAAGAAGGGGAGTGCCTTGAAACTGAGGAGATACGACAAAGGGGTTCTTTTTAGCGGTAAACGCGCAAACTTGTGTCTTCTGAGGATTAAATTGGACTAGATTTAGTCGCCCCCAATCCGAGACTTTGTTCAGCAAAGACTCGACTTCAGACACAAGTTTGTTCCGGTACTCAACGACGTTTTCCCGAGAAATATTGGCACGGCCGGTGTATAGAGCATCAACAGTGCTGTCATCCGCATAGCAATGAATGTTACCAGTTAGCAACATATCATTGATATGCAGAAGAAACAGCGTTGGTGATAGCACACAGCCTTGTGGAACACCAGCGTTAATAGGCTTGTAGTCAGAGCATGCACCGTCTACAACGACCTTGATGCTCCGATCTGCAAGGAAGCTGGTGATCCAATTGTAATTGTAATTGTTGTAATTGTACTAACTTTCTTTCCAAATAACAACCTCATCTGCGCGAAGCGTTACTTCAATCTGCAAGGTGATTGACGCATTGACGTAACGTGGATTTTATTATAGACTGACATTGGAAAATTCATCAAACAAGCTGTAAACCAAATACCACAGACTAGTGATAGGTAGAAGCGAGAGAATCGGTTCTGCACTCATTAACCTTTCCAGTGTAGTGAGTTGGGGCTGTTGGTGTGTTAGAGATATTTGGTATTTAAATAACGAAACGCAGAAATTATCAATTTTCTTTTTAATAAACTATACCTTTTATGTTTTATAATAATAATTTGATAATTTGTTAAATTTAGAGAATAGTAGCGGTGATGAGGAGCTATTACGCGCGCGTAAGGTGTGGAGTCGTTGGGGCAAATGGAGTGACTGCTCCGCTTCGTGTGGAGGAGGCTCTATAATCCGTCGTAGACTTTGTGTTGCTGGGAGGTGTGCTCCTGGAGAGTTTGAAGAACAGCGAAGACCTTGTGCTAAGGCGCCTTGTGCTCCGTCTGCCGACGTTATTGCTTCTGATGATCTGCGTGAAAATGAATAACCTTTGAAAATTGTACATTTGAAACGAAATTTAAATAAACCATTTAATATTTTATTTTAAACCAGCTGTTCCTCGCGACTTCATCCGCGCGGCATTGATTACGATTGGATGTAATGGTTTTTTTTTATGCAGAACCCTAATTCCTTTTCTACAATAAAAGTAGCCTCTATTCGACTAATTAAGTAAGTTGATTAGCCGAAATAAAAACAGACATAGACAACAGCCAAAATTTTAAAAATTGTTTATTTGTTATATGCATCGTATAAACTTTCATATGTAATTGGTAAAAAGCGGTTATTTTGATATTACATACCGACACTTCAATTTTATTTATTTGTTTGTAGATAAAATATTGCAATGTTGTTTTTTATAGGATAAATGTGACAAACGAGCACACAGTCCATCTGATGGTAAGTAGATGCTGTGGCCCATAGACATCTACATTTACACAAGAATCTAAATGCGATGCGTTATCATCCGTGAGGACTAAGATGGAATGCCTCGTTACCAGTAAAAAGGGTCTCCGTTTCTCTGCACTAACCATATGAAACACAGCAGCATTAAGCTGCTGTTATACGCTGGTATTCTGAAAGAGCGTGGTCCTTCCCGGTCTAGCCGACCCATTGGTGCTACAACTAATATAGCTGCAGCGTGGCTGTACCACGTGTGCACGTGAATTCGTTTATTTATTTATTCATCGCTTTATAATAGCCAACTGCTGGAGATTGACATCAGCCTATCTTATTATCAGGAGCAGACGAATTAGCAATCGCCGTACGAAGCCGTGTAGAGGCAACGTAAGAGAATCTACTGTTGATAATGCCGCTGGCCATCTCCTGTTTCAGTTTACCCTTTTTATTTTTATTTTATTTTTGTAGCTTTCGCAAAGTAACTCAAGACAAACGTACGTACAGATGTGGAACAGACTATCCTTGTAAAGGATTACATTATGTTTTGTTTAAATAATTATGTTTGAAGTTTAGGATATTTATTGAATGTTTGCATTTCGTTCTTCCGTGACTTTTAGAAGCTGATTATAGACCTACTTTTGATAATTCTATCTTAAATACTTTTTAATCGTAGTTTGTGCGTGATTTTTGAGAATAATGGTATTTATAATTTTTTTTCGTAACCTATTTTTTAAATGTTACTCCCAGACTAGGCTTTTCTCCTCTATCGTGGAGGCAATTGACAAACAAATTTCACAAGGAGAAACATCCAAACCTGGAACAAGTATTTGTAAATCACACAAGTTCCTGTTGCGTGCGGGATTCTAACCCGCAGCCTACAGGCACAGCATCTCTGCTCAGCCACTGCGCCATCCTACCTGGTTTTTGTAAAATGAATTTTTATATATATGTTATTTATATATTATCATTCTCATACATTGCACTACATAGCGATTCCTTACCCGATAAGAACCTGTGGGTGTCGTAAGAGGCGACAGAGGGAAACTGAAGCAGATGATTAGTTGCAGCATCTTACTGACAACTCAAATTAATAAAAAACCGTGGTTGCCTGTGAGGCAATCTATGGGGTAGGCTCTATGTGTGTACAACTTTTCATGGACTGTAATGTACGGGAAAATGAATGAAATATTATTGTTTAGTTATGAAAGGCTATGACAACACTTGTATAATAAATGTACACAGCTGTTATCATTATTCTCGTAAACATTTGTAACATTGTTGTCCATCTGTTAAAATATTTGCAGTTAAAACTATTGAGATAGTATCATTCATAAATGTATTACGTATGCCATTACTATCTCGTTGATCTGGCGGTCGTAAGTGTGATTGCTGATCACGAGGTCCCGAGTTCGAATCCCGGGTGGGGCCAAAATCACTTATTGGGTTTTTTCTGTCAAGAAATTCTCAGTAGCAGCGTGACAGTATTTCTTGCCGGCACACCACCTGCAACTTTACAAGGCACAGGTTCAGCCTCACATGGAATACTGTTCACATCTCTGAACTACGGCTCCCCAGTGCCAGCTCTTTCCACTTGACCGCATCCAACGCAGAGCGGCTCGAATCGTCGACGACCGAATCCTTACCGATCGGCTCGATTCACTGGTGCTGCGAAGAGATGTTGAGCTATGGAGAGGGCTATGCTCGGGAGTTCTCTGCACGATAAACTTAGAAATATATCCGTAGTAGAACCAGGGTGACCAACATAGCCTAACGGATTAGTAAGCTGAAGTGGCAATGGGCCGGCCATATAGCTCGAAGAACCGACAACCGATGGGGAAAAAAGGTTCTCGAGTGGCAGTCTCGTACCGGTAGGCGAAGTGTAGGGCGTCCCCCCAATGGATGGAGTGACGACCTGGTAAGACATGCAGGAAGTCGATGGACGACCGTGCTTTGTTGCATTCCTTGAGGGAGGCATATGTTCAGCAGTAGACTTGTGAAGGGCTGTAATGATGATGATGATGATTCAGCTATAACTGTTTGAGGCAGCCATGACAATTTTCTTGAAATAAAGGCATCTGATTGGTTCATCTAAACAGAATCGACTTTGCTCCTAAGCAACGCGGGACAGAGGTGATTTTGCATCTAAAAGCGATTTTCAATTTCATTTTGTAGGGTACTTGAAAATAATTTATTTGACCAATCTAATGATTTAAGAGCCAGTGATCGGCAGACTTACGGTATTTCAATAAGCTTCATGTGTTTTTAATTAATCCCCTCTACCTGAGGTACATGAAATGGGGACTCTAGTTTAACCGACGCTTGATATAGACACGTTCAGGTACGAAAGTGTAGAAAAATTACCGAAAGAACGTGAAAGTAATAAGTCTGCCGCTTTGACATCTTGCAATATTCAATAAAAGTTACTGAAAAATAACATCTACGGCGGTTCAAAGGTCATGGCAGATAGGTTGACAAGTACAATTTTTTCTTTATAATTGACGTTATTGCAATAAAGCTGCAATATATATATGTTGTTGATAATATTATCTGACATAAATATTTTGCATGGCAGACATATATTGAGGTTCTATCACCCAGGCAGGCAACGAACTTTAGTGGCGTCCATAAGCGTATACTATAGCACTCGCTCTAATCTAGTTTTTTTTTATTTTTGTTTGGAGGAAGGGCCCACGTCTGAGTTTTATTTTACTCATAACAAAAGAACATTTCTGTCATTGGTTACGGTTATATCAAATATTTTTAGTGTATTTTTGTACTTTGGTAGAGAAGCAAGAAGGAATCCCAGAAATTTCTCAGATTCCTGAAGTAGGCAGTTCAACAGGAGGTAATTCCTATAAATATGAATCGTTTATAGTTGTATTTGTTGTAACAAAGTAAATAAAAACATCGGTCTAAACAATTAGTTTTGCATACTATAGTACGTGAGGGTAATATGGTCATCAGGTTAATATGGTCACTTTCTTATAACTCAAAAACTACTGCCTCGTTTGCATAGATGGTTCTGTGATACGATAGCTCTTCATCATTCAATCAAATAATAAAGCTTACAAGGGCGCTGCTTTATCGGCGCCATTTTGACAGTTGACAGTAAATATTTTAGTCCATTTTAGTACTGTGAAGTGTAGTTAGTTTTTTGTTTTTTCGAAGTGTTCCTAATTATTACTAAAGATTGTTTGCCATTTTTTTCTTAATATATTAGTTATATTATACAACCATTGAGTTATATGTACGTAGTACATATAACTCAATGTATACGGCTTTGTGTTTTTTAGGAAATATAAGCTGGATTAATTAGAGTGTTTTCTTGATATACGCCTACTCATATTATCGTATAAATGCAATATGGTATGGTTATAATAGAGGCATTTAGAGGCACTACAAAATTGCTTGACCTTGACGTGTCGAGATTAATACACTACCTAAAAATGCTTCGCGCTTTGAGGCGTGCAATAATCATTAAAATTGACAAAGATATCGAGTAACATACACAAAAAAAGAACACATACTGAATTGAGTTCCACCTACTTTTTTGTAGTCGGCTAAAAACAGGAATATCGTAAGTTTTTATGGACTAAACGAAGAGTAATGGAGCAGAGAAGAGCCGGCACACGGCTTTAGCACGAATTGGCGGTTACTTCACAATATTTTATTTTACTATCGAGTACGTTATTAATGAGACCTTAAAATAGTAATTAACAAATTCAGTGGTCACGAAATTTATGGTATGGGAACACCCTTCCATCCCAACATGCTGCGTGAGACGTAACTTTTACCATATCTTACCAAGGCGTGTTGGTGGACTTCACAATAAAAACTTCACAAATGGTTGCCTTCGAAATATTTTAATTTTAATTTATTTATATGCAGGTTGCCTTACTAAGGGCACGTGGTATAAATTAGTACTTGAATTGCAATCAACTATTTCATTGGTGGCGGCGGGGATCGAATACGGCAAACTTAGTCTCTAATCTCCTCTCATAGTCCCTATAGATTCTAGTTTTTCCACTGAATATTATAGTAACGTAAATAGTCCGATGATCAAATTTTCTCATCTCACGTTAAAATAGTTACATCATTTACGTTATTATATGAACGCATGTTTTGATATAGAGAACAATACTTACAATCATAATAATAATAGACGACAGAGCCTTTGTTAGAACCATTCTATTATAAATTCGATATTCTTTCTCCGGCTCTTGTCGACATCGAACCAGAAAAAATGATTGTAGAGCTGTGTCTGCTTCTAAGAATCGTGTTAAATGAAAACCTACACCTGACTCGTTTGTCAGTTACTACTTGTGAAGGTAAACAATATTTTCTTAGAACGCCTTTTCATATTCACATAAGCGCGAAATCGAATTCAACATCACTGTCGTCGCAGAATCGAACGCACTTAGTACATTAATCATTTAAATTTTGATATTTTCGAGATGTATTCATATTTATTTGTAACGCTGACTGTATTTTCTTTTGTAAAAGATTTTGTTATTTCCGAAAGTAATTTCATTTAATTTCTAGAAAATATAAAGCAAGTAGTACTTAATGATGGAGTTTTGCGTTTATTTTTATATAGGTAATTTTAATATCTCTTTTAGATACCAAAGAACCCATGGAGGAAATTCAATCAGTACAAAAGTTCAAGATGCCCTCCAAAGACTATCCTCCAACTCCGAGCACATGGGAAATGAATCCCAATTTAAATTCAATGTGGGCTTACCGTCCAGCTCCTGCTGTAAGTAATATTTATTTAAGTTTTTAATTTATATTTAGAAGATTTTATTTTGAGATTCGATTCCAGTCATTTGAGATATTAATAATAAATATTTATAACTAAAATAAAATTTGCTATTTCATGTAATTATTAATTGAAATTTAACAAAAATAACTATTATAAAATATTAGAAGGTACCTGCGGGTAATAAAGCCTAGCTAAGGGAAAATCGAAAATAAAATCTGAAATATCTAATTTGGTCCACAGATATTAATAAAAGTCATTATTAACTTAGTACAATCTCTATAAAGTATGAATAAATAATTGTAATATTTGCCAAAAACAAAAACAAAATTAAACATTTCTAACTTCAAGGCCTTCGTCATCATTACAGCTTTATATAAGAAATTCAAAAAAGTTCCTTAACATCATCACGTTATTTTATTATAGAATAAGGGTGACTATCAAGCACACAGCCCACCACATACCTACCACACTGATGGTAAGTGTATGCTGTGAGTGTGACCCATGGCCTTCTACATCAATCCTCGATTAAGTATCAAAATGCAGATGCATTGTCGCCCCTGAGGACTAAATGGAATGCCTCGTATCCAGTTAAAAGGATCTCTGATTGTTTACTCTCACCATACGAAACACAGCAGTATGGCGCTGCTACTTTACGCTAGTATAATGTGAGAGCGTGGTCCTTCACCGGTTGAGCCGATCCATTCGTGCTACAACCATAATATAGCTGCAACATAGCTCTACCACGTATTTAGTAGGGAACTCTCCTACACCACGTTTGTTGATTCAAGACTGTGATTCCAGGGCTTTTCCATTATTGATTCTGGTAAAATCTAATTATTCGACCTTCTTTTATAGCTCACGTACATATAAATTAATAAAAGTCTTTTTTTTACAGCAGCAGCAGGCCCCCGATGATCAAATGGCGCGTACGGTGTTGGTGAGATCTCCTCATTCACTAACGAGACTTGCCAAATCATTAACACTGGGATATGATCCATATTTTGACAAGGTACAACTTCATTACTACTATGCCATGAGTGTTATATACAGATACGAGTACTACAAATTGTCATTGACAAAACATCACCCATATTTTTTTGTTTCTTACAACACATTATATATCTTTATATAACAGTTTTGATCAATATAAGAAAGATTCTTTTAATTTTTGAGTCTATAATAACGTCGGCATAACGTGAAATTTTAGTAATTTTGAAGTGTTACATAAAAACATGAATATTGGTAAATATACATTGTATCTTAAAAATATATTTGATTCGTTATTGGGTATTGTAGGAAAAAACAGAGGAATACGGAAAGCTAAGAGCCCACAAACAATATAGCACAGGAACATCTACAATCAGCTTTAAAAACAGATTTATATTTATACAAACAGACTCAGTCAAATAACTTTAAAATTGATTTTTTGTTATAAGCACCGTATATACTTTTATATGCATTTAGTAAAATGCTGCCATTCAAACAATTTTGCCATTCAAAAGACACTTCAATTTTATTTTTATTTCTTCAGATATAGATTATTTCATTATTACGTCTCAATGGATTTTAAATTTTGTGTTCAGAATTAGGATTATCAGTTATTGTCGTTAACTTATATCTGTATCGCTGTACATAGGCCTCTCCTGTTGTAGAGATCATTTACTTTAATAGTCACACTTGGCAATCGAATTGACGATAGTAGTATCGATCGTTTCGCATCTTCGACGCTGCTTCCTGTTCACGTCGCCACGCCACGCCAGTCTGAATATTTATGCTATGTGTAAACAAGATGGTTATCCGCCATCTACTGAAAGCCGCAATATATTTTTTAGTCATCTCCTATACAATACAATACTCTTTATTATACACCAAAAAAAGATAAAAGTAACAAAAAATTATCGGCTATTTATGGAAATACAAAGGGCGGTCTTATTGCTCACATAGCAATCTCTTCCAACCCAAGAGAACAACCCAGAAGAAGAAATAAATAAAAAATAAGAAAATGAACATTGGGTAGGGTGCACTAACATACAATAAAGAAATAATAATAAAAATACAAACTTATGCATTAAAAAGACAACATTCTTCAGGTAGATCAATGACTATAATTAACATGACACCCATGCCAGGAAATGCGGTTGATAGGGATGTTTGCTTTTATATGCCGCAACTATCCGGCAAATCATCATCATCATCATCATTACAGCCCTTCACAAGTCCACTGCTGAACATAGGCCTCCCCCAAAGAATGCCACAAAGCACGGTCCTGAGCCACCTGCATCCATCGACTTCCTGCATGTCTTACCAGGTCGTCACTCCATCTCGTGGGGGGACGCCCTACACTTCGCCTACCGGTACGAGGCTGCCACTCGAGAACCTTTCTACCCCATCGATTGTCGGTTCTTCGAGCTATATGGCCGGCCCACTGCCACTTCAGCTTACTAATCCGTTGGGCTATGTCGGTTACTCTGGTTCTACTGTGGATATCCTCATTCCTAAGTTTATCACGCAGAGAAACTCCGAGCATAGCCCTCTCCATAGCTCGCTGAGCGACCTTGAGCTTCCTCATACGGCCAGCAGTGAAGGACCACGTCTCAGTTCCATAAGTCATCACTGGCAACACGTACTGGTTGTACAATTTCGTTTTCAGGTTTTGAGGTATGTCTGACGAGAAGATGTGTCGTAACTTCCCGAACGCTGCCCAGCGGAGTTGAATCCGTCGATTGACCTCTCGGTCGAAGTTGGACTTACCTAGTCGGAATATTTGTCCCAGGTAAACATACTCGTCAACAACTTCGAGCTTAGTGCTCCCAACAACTATCGGCATAGGTGTGACATGGACATTGAACATGATCTTTGTTTTGTCCATGTTCATCTTAAGACCTATCCGTTGGGAAACACTATCGAGGTCATTGAGCATAGTGCTTAGGTCTTCCAGCGATTCTGCCATAAGGACTATATCGTCGGCAAATCGAAGGTGAGTGATGTACTCGCCATTGATGTTGATACCGTATCATGTCCAGAAGCTTGAAAACGTCTTCCAATGCAGCGGTGAAGAGTTTCGGGGATATGACGTCACCCTGTCTTACACCTCTCTGCAATTGGATAGGTTTCGTACTCTGGTTCTGTACTCGGATAGCCATCGTAGCACTACTGTACAAGCACTTCAACACTTCGATATACCGACAGTCAACTTGGCACCGCTGAAGGGACTGCAGCACCGCCCAAATTTCGACGGAATCAAAGGCTTTCTCATAGTCCACATACGCCAGACATAGTGGCAAATTGTATTCTTCGGACTTCTGTACAATTTGCCGAAGGGTATGTATGTGGTCTATGGTGCTAAAGCCCTTTCGGAAACCGGCTTGTTCGGGAGGCTGGAAGTCGTCAAGTCTGCGCGCGAGACGATTCGTAATGACTCTCGAAAACAGCACGTAGACGCGGCTCAGAAGGGAAATCGGTCTGTAGTTCTTCAAGAGAGCGTTGTCACCTTTCTTGAAGAACAAGACCACCGCACTTCTGCTCCACGCCTCCGGTGTAATGCCACCATGGAGGACGGAATTAAAGAGCTTCTGAAGGACTTCAAGTACCGGTCTTCCACCCGCTTTCAGAAGCTCCGCTGTAATTCCATCCTCGCCTGGGGCCTTACCGTTTTTAAGGTGCTGGAGAGCCATTCTAATCTCGCTCAGACTGACGTCCGGGATATCTTCGGAATAGTGTCGGATGAGACTCGCTCTTGGATCGTTACTCACACTTGCGTGTGGCTCCAATGATGACGTGTACAGCTGCCCATAGAACCTCTCAATCTCACTAAAAATCTCAGGTGTCCCGGAAACGATGCTGCCACATTCTGTCTTCAGCTTTGACAGGTGGCTCTTTCTGGCAGACAGATCTCTGGCAAAGACTTTGGAGCCTTGGTTCCGCTCGATCGCTTCTTCAATACGAGCTGTATTGAAGTTGCGTAAGTCCCGCCGCATGCATTTGGAGATCTGTCTGTTCAGATGCCTGTATGCTGTCAAGTCTGTTGAAGAATGTAGCTTCATCTCCCGTCTAACAGCCATGAGATTAAGAGTGTGATCGGAGAGTTTTTGTGTTCTTCTGCGGCGGGTCTTGCAGAACTTAGCTCCGACCGCATGGACAGTTTCCACGAGCTTGTCATTCATATCGTCCACTTCATTGCAGTCTTCTAGGCACTGAAAACGGTTTTGTAACAGAGCACGAGGGTGACGGAGCGTTGACTTCATTAGACGAGACCTCTCCAACTTAACGTTTAGGTTCAGTGTGCCTCTAACCATTCGGCGATCGCTACCAGTTTTCACCCTCGCGATCACGGAGACATCACTGAACAGTTGTCGTCTGGTCGTCATAACGAAGTCAATCTCATTTTTTGTCGAACCGTCGGGGCTCGACCAGGTCCACTTCCTGTGGGGCCGCTTCTGGAAGAAAGAGTTCATCATAAAGAGTCCCTCTTTCTCCATGAAGTCGGCCAGCTGCTGGCCCCTTGGGTTCCGTTGCCCTATTCCAAATTTCCCTACTTTCAGCTCACCGTTCTCTCTTGTGCCTAGTTTTGCATTGAAGTCTCCCATTAACACCGTATATTGGGTTTTGGAGGAATGCATGGCTCTAGAGATATCCTCATACATTTCCTCCACCTCCCCATCGGGGTGTGCCGAGGTTGGTGCGTAAACCTGTATGAACTTCAGCGAATACCGTTTGGTGATTCTGAGTATAAGGTACGCAACCCTCGTCGACACACTCCCGATCTTTACAACGTTGTTAACGAGAGACTTGTGGACGATAAATCCGACACCTCCTTGGGACAGATGGTCGCCCTTCGAGATTCGAGGATTACCGTGTCCTCCCCCTCTCTTCGGACTTCGGATAATCCTATAATATGCCAGCGCAACTTGTCTATCTCTTCTTCCAGCTCCACGATCTTCTCGTCAGTCCTCAGGGTGCGTGCGTTGTACGTTGCCAGGTCGAGTGGTCTAAGGTGGCAACCGAACCTCCACCGGAGATTCTTAGCACCCCCTGCCCCGCCGTTACCATGGTCGCCACCGTAGCCAGGAATAGCGGGGCCGCCGGGGACTGGGGGCCGTCTCTTTGTTACATTCATAGGGGGATATTTGCCATAGTTGCCACGCTTGGCGAGCGGGTTGGCAACCGCAGTTTTTTTATTGTAATTTTGGCTATTATCAGGAAGATGCTGCTGCCCATCTCCTGCCTGTTTCCCTTTGTCGCCTTTTACGACACCCACGGGAGGATATGGGGTAGTGGTATTCTTGACCGCCACTACACGGCAATCACAATCCGGCAAATATTATATATTTACTCGTATTATATTAATTATTATTGCTTATATATTTAGATAAAATCTTATTGTTTAGTGAAAAGCAGTGAAAATAAACAGTTGTATAATCTTATTATTTTATAATTAAATTATTTACGTGCTATGGATGCAGCCAAGGTCGGTTCGACTGGAAAAAGACCACGCTCTAACAGAATACCATAAAACAACACCATAATGCTGCCATGTCTTGTATCGAGTTTAGAGAAATATTTTTCAATACTAACGAGAAATTCCACCTTATTAGTTATCAGACAAAGTTTATGGAAGACAGTATTCACTTGTTAGCAGGAGGAGTATGTGCTTGTTTATCACCATTAATTTAATTTAAAAAAAAAAAAAACTAATAGCATTTTATTGTACTAGTAGTCGTAACTTTCCCGTCTTTTTTCAGGGCTTTTTCGAACCTTTTGAAAGACGACAAAGACCAGTCACTCTTGTCGCCTTTAGGAAAAATGGATTTATACCGCGGACTCATTTTAAGGTACCTATAATAATTTGAGATAAAGTGAGAAAATTCATGAGAATTTATCACTATATTATAATTCTATTACACTAGACAGTCACTTATTCGAAATATAGATAAAGGGTCTAGACATTAAGGGGGTTTACTGAAATATTATTGATAATATAAAATATAGTTTATGATATGTTTAACCGACTTCAAAAAGAAGGAAGTACTCAATTCGACTGAATTTTCGTTATGTATGTTAACCTTAGAACTTTTTTCTAGGTGAACCGATTTTGAATATTTTATTATTTGAACGTTTAATAAATCTGTAGAAAAATTGTGTTTTCACGATTCACGCAAAAACTACCGAACAAATTTCCATGATTTTTTTTTATCTAGGCAGTAAATGACCGTGTATAACAAATAGGCAACTTTTTATCCGCTTCTGGAAGAGTAAAAAAATGGTTAGGTTTTTCTTCTTTTTTAAGCTTATCATAATTGTAGCTGCTGATGGTTCTATTAGTCCTAAAGAGGATTTATCTATATGTATAATAAATCTTTAGAAAAGTGTGTGTGGGAAAATGAACCTCATCGCGCCAACAACAACTAAGCACAGAATAACGTTTGCCGGGCCAGTTACCAGCTAGCCCTTAATAGTTCGTATTTAATTGACTTCGACTACATTGATGATGTTCTCATTTTATTTATATTGAAGTCGGTTTTACAAATTTTTTTTATTAATCCACTTTTTTTAAATGATTTTTATGGTGGCACTAGATGTGGGTGTGATTTTGCACGATCATCAAGTATTAATTTATTTCAATTTCAATTTATTTCATAATAATTTTATGAACATACAATAAAATATAATGTATGAACTATAATAAAAAAAAACTAAAACTAGTAACCTAATTATCATACCGTCCTACTCCCCGCGATATCGTGCCAAGAACGCTGGCTGCGTTACCCCGCTGAATGGCTATACTTAGCCTTTGAGCGAGAAAATAACTAGCCCTCTTATCACCAGCAGCAACGACCAGACGCTGATGGAGTTCCTTTAGGAACTTCACCATACGTGGACCCCAAATATCTATATAATATGACCTATTTAATTTACCTAAATTTATATATAAGCAGTTTTATCTCTTATATTTAGTTTAATGAATGTTAATTTATAAAGAACTTATGTAATTGAAAACGCATGGAAAAAGATTTTAATTTTTTTTTCAGGGTACAACGGGAAATGCGGATGAAATAGCAGAACTCCAGTCTCCTTATAATGATATCAGCAATTTTTGGCAGGAAGAACTAGAACCTCTGCATTAATAAGTTTCAAGAAGTTGTTCCATAAACTTGTGAAATTTATTTATTTTTGGAAATACATTTATAAACTTAAAGTGTTGTAATTATTTGCTTTATTTGTATCATATTGCATTGTAGTAGCTGTCAAACGTTTTTTTATGCTATCAAGGGTGACTAACAAGCTACCAGTCTACAAGATGATAAGTGTATATATATTTATAATCCTCGCTACCAACCATACGAAATCTAATAAATAGCATTATCCTATTTTAGGTGGGTGTTTAGTGCTAGCTGTCAAAATGCAAATGCAGCGAGGCTTTACCACGTAAATGGTATTAAATACGCCATCAAAAAATACACAACATCAAAATTTATGCTGAATTAAAACATATACTAAAACATAAAGTTTGCTGTTATGCGATAAATTTTTTATAATATATACCTAGTCAGGTCATAAATTCTGTCACATGTTTAATATAAAATAATTGAAACAAGTTTATTCATTATGTACCCATTTATATACCAAAATGAACTTAACAAAACATAGATTCTTATGAAACTAAAGTTTATTCAAAATGACCTCCGTGATTTTGAATACAGGCCTTCAATCTGCGCGGCCAGTCGTCTATCGCAGCACGAACGAGGTCCATGTCATTATCGGCGGCTGCCTTAATCAATGATATCTTGAGTGACTCCAAATTGGGATGAGGCTTTGAGCACGCTTTTTCCTCCAAGAGTTGCCATATCTTGTAATCTAACGGATTCAAATCTGCACTGGAGGAGGGCCAGTCTTCGTGCTGTATGAAGTCGAATTCACGCGCCACCAGCCAGTCTTGTGAGCTCTTCGCTCTATGAGCTGGCGCTGAATCTTGTTGGAATACCTAATATTGAACATGGTATGAGAAACAGGTTCCACAAGGTTCGTCAGGACTGTATTTTGATACACAACTGCATTCGTTTTTACACCTTTCTCACAAAAATGTACCTCTTTTAAGCCCCAATAAGAAACTCCCAACCATACCATGAGCGAGGATGGAAAATGACCTCGTTGGACACGCGAAATACTTTTGCTCGCTTCTTCACTACTGTGTGCGTACACCTTATCATTTTGTTTGTTGTAGCTCTCTTCTACGGTAAAAATTTTTTCATCAGAAAAAAGAATATCCCGATATTTTTTTCCCGCGTACTGCTTCAACAAAGCGCGGCATCTCTTCAGTCTCAGGTCCATTAGACGAGCATTCAAACTATGTTCTGTTTTTCTTCGATATGCCCGAAGCCCTAAGTCTTCATTTTACACCCTTTTCACCGTGGTTCTGCTTAACCCCATCTGAAGGGCCAACAGTTTCTGCTTACGTTTGGGATTTCTTTGAATTCGCGCCTTCACAGCTTTTATCACTGCTGGAGTCCTAACAGACCGAGGGCGACCACTTCTTGACCTGTCATCTACACTAGAGTCTTCATTGTATCGTTTGATGGTACGATAAACGAATCTTTTGGTTATATTCAAATTTTTCAGTATGTCAAAAATTTGAATTGGCGCGTAACCGCAACGATGCAACGCAATAACTGCGACACGGTCTTCTTAAGCGTCCACTCCATATTTAAAAATGAGTAAAATTATAAAAAGTATACAGTTTTATTTTCATGAACAATTCGAAATTCGAATTCAATAAACTTTTTTGTGGCCAGCATTCTAAAAGAAAAGTTTTTACTGTGTGACAATACTTATGACCTGACTAGGTATTTATTTGGCTTTAGGCATACCTAACTTTTTCTATATTACTGTTGCAGCCCTCAAACCAAACATGCAATTAACTTCAAAAAAGTTATTGTATAACCCATATGTAGGTCATGAAATTATTAGAAATAATATTTTTGTATGGTCTTTAATTTTTCCGGTTTTGGATGTTTCTCCTTGTGCAACTTATGTATGTAAACTGCCTCCACTGTTGGAGGAAATCTTATTGTAAGGGTAACTTTTTTTATCACCCCAAAGGACTAAGATTAAATACCTCAGAGCCTGTTGCTACACTGAGTGTCTCTTACTTTTACATTACTGCTTAGAGAATTACGTAAGAGGATGGTATCACCGATGGTAACCGTTCCCGTCATCCGTATCTATAAGCTTTTTCTACCGACTTCCAAAAAGGAGACGGTACTCAATTCGACTGTATGTTTTTTTATTTGTGTTACCTCATAACTTTTGCTGGGTGAACCGATTTCATTGATTATTTTTTTTATTTGAAAGCTGGTGCTTCACATGTGGTTCCATATAAATTTGATCAAGGTCTAACCAATAGTTTTTGAGTTCTTCTTAATAATTTATATTGAAGTCGGTTGTACAAAATATTCAATTTTAAATTATTATCAGAAACCTTCGACGGCGCGCGCACAACCGATTAAAGATTCATTGTAATCAGTGAATAGTACTAAATGCACAGAAAGAGAACAAACAAAAAAAATATTTTAAAATAACATTTTTAAAAGCGTCGAAACAGAAAGGGCTGATGATCTTCAAACGGTTGAACAGATTTTATTGAACCAAGAACACTCTCGATTAAAACTTCAAACGAAAAAAAACTTAAACAAAATCAGTTAAAACTTATAACACTCCCTTTTTCGAGAGTGTATGCTGTTAGCCCTACGGCCTTTACAACTTCATCGAAATAGACTCGTAAGCGAGGACTTACGAGCTATTAAGCACAGCGATTCTGCCGGCGGTTAGGATAAGATAGACATGGACAAAACAAAGGTCATGTGTAACGTTCATGTCATACCTACATATGCCGGTAGTTGTTGGGAGCACTACGGTCGAAGTTATCGACGAGTATGTTTACCTAGAACAAACAGTCCGACACGGTAAGTCTAACTTCGACCGAGAGGTCAAAAGATGGATTCAATTCGGTTGGACAGCATTCAGGAGATTACAACACATCATCTTGTCGGGTATACCTACCTGAAAACTTGAAAACGAGATTGCACAATCATTGCGTGTTATCAGCGATGACTTAGGATCTGAGACGTGGTCCTCTACTGCTGGCTGTATGAGGAAGCTCAAGGTCCTTTCGCAAGCTATAGGTAGGGCTATGCTCGGGTTTTTTCTGCGTGATAGACTTAAAAATGAGGATATCCGCAGAAGATTAGTAAGCTGAAGTGGCAATGGACCGATCATATACCTCGAAGAACCGACAACCGAACGGGAAGGAAGGTTCTTGAGTGGCAGCCTTGTAACAATAAGTGAAGTGTAGGGCAGCCTCCCCACTAGATGGAGTGACGACCTGGTAAGACATGCAGGGAGTCAATGGATGTAGGTGGCTCAGGAACGTGCTTTGTGGTATTCCTTGGAGGAGGCCTATGTTCAGCAGTGAACTTGTGATGATGATGATAATGATAATATATAGATAAGTCTAACCTCCTACACGAGTTCAATCGTTGGCTCCAACTCGGTTGGGCAGCTTTCGGGGATTACAACATCTTCGGGGATTCTTCCTCAAAACTTAAAAAGCAGAGTGTGTGATTGTGAAACGTAATCGCTCAACGAGTTATGGAGAGGGTTAAGGTTAATACTCGAAGTTTCTTTGTGTGATAAAATTTGTAATGACATCCCGTACATAACCCAAAAGATATAGCCGAAAAGATTAGTAAGCTGAAGTGGCAATAGGCCGTCCGTAGCTTGAAGAACTGACAACCGATGGGTACGAAAGGATTGAGGATCGAGTGGGAGCCTCGTCCTGGAAAACGTAGTGTGGGATGGCTCCCCACTATGTGCAGTATCAACCTGTTAAGAGATGGATGCAGGTGGCTGATAACCAATCTGTGTGGCATTCCTTGTTCTATGAATGTTCGGTAGAGGAATTGTGAAGGGTTTCGATAAAAGAGCCTACTCCTTTTGAAAAGACCGGCAACGCATCCGCAAGTCCCTTGGTTCCCTGGTGTTGCAGTTGTTCATAGGCGCCGGTAGTCACTTACCATCAGGTGAGCCGCATGCTCGTTTGCCCGTTCTCCCATAAAAAAGGGCTGTAACGATCATAATAAATGATGGTATAAAGTCTAATCGAATAAAATGTTTTTCGATTAAAAAATACGAAAAATGTAAACCTTAAAGACGTATATTATCACGTTGGGAATCACACTACTAATAATCTGATAAATTGCCATGTTTACCGATGTGATTTATTTTTGAATATATTATTTCACTCTCGCAGCTCAAATAAATATTCCAATTGTTCCATGGAGTTTTAGTTAATAAGCTACAGCCAAGTTACACGATAGCATCAAATTTTTATGTTACTAAATTACCACTCAGTTAGCATTACATTTTTAATATACAATAGTGTTTTTCATGAATACTATAGTTAATATAAAGTCAGGATTGTAAAAAATTTTCGGTAAAATACTAGTGTCAAAGTTCTTCGTTTATAGCACTAAATAAGCACCCAATTAGCGTAAAATTTTTAAACATCTAACTCTTAAGTGGGCGCCTCTTCACAATTTTCTCATTTTAACAAATACTAATAAAGCTACTTGTACAAGGCGCTCAGACAGGTACTCGTACTCTTTCTTCGTTTGACTTTGGCAAATTATAGGTCATTGTAAAGGCTGAGTAGTGTACCGTTAAATTTGTTTTTTCTGTAGTACCTAACTGTTAAATTTGAAGACGATTCAATTATTAATGCCAATATTTTTATTTTTATTCTATTTATGAGAGAATCTCATAGGAGTTCACTCGCAACAAGGGAGTTCAGTCAAATGATTTCGAACTGTTTAAAATTTTTAAATAAGTCGGCCAGTTCATAAGCAGAAATGCATTATGATGCAATTATTATGTAAATCAAATGTATGGATAAATACTTATACAAAAATCTGACGAAGTCCTTTATGGAGTAGGGATAATCTATATGTATAAAAGAGCATGCTCTAAGTGACTGACTCATCTATGCTGCTCAGCCCAATTTACTTGACGTAGAAATCAGGACAGCAGAGCTGTTTTTTATAACGTAGGCATCCACTAAGAAAGGATTTTG